TTTAGATTTAAATTGGATTGAGATTATTTCTCTAAATCTAACTCGAATGTTAAAAACCTCGGTCCAAATACTGAATACTTTGAAATTAAGTTTGAGTTAAACCGACAAAGTTGCATCAGAATTGACATTTAACTCAAAAAACCCTAAAAATAAAATGGGCTTTAGTATCCGACATTACTCGAGTAAGACATGAGAATAGAGTTTTGAAAATAAGTGAAAAAAAACTTCATTTAACTTTAACATGGGAAATAAAAAGAATTATTTAGCATTAGGAGAAAGAGAGCATTAAATAATTTTAAAAAGTCTAGCAATAATGCTTTATGTTCGTTATAATGAAAAATCATTTCAGCTTTTATGACAACTACTACTGAATATTGGCATTTTGGCTTCAAAACAAGAAGGGAGGTGCCGGCATTTAGGATCATCCCACCATCCACGGTGAGGTTGTTGTGTAGTACAGGGCCTACTAACAGGTAGAATTTAACATGGCTACTCTCTCTTCTATCCACCACCATGTGAATCTAGTTTTTTGTTTTTTGGTCACATGATGTCTAAATTTGTACCAAGTACTCTCTCGAGATCAACGATTGTCCCCGTAATTTGAGCATGTCCTTGAGGAACAAAGATATCTGACTCTCAGGAAATGTGAGAAGGGATCAAACCTAGAACCTGAGTTACAAAATATCAGACTAAACCACCAAAAAAACTCTTAAAGGTTGTATGTAAATCTAGTTTAAGTATCATATTCAAGTCGTATTATTTTAATTTTGTTATTTTTCTATGATATTCATGATGGGTGTGTTAGAAATTACAAAATTATAAAGTTTTTCTCACAACCAAATTCATTTAATTTGCACTCTAGCAAAATCAAATAGTGTTATGTAATTATATAACATTTTGTAGTATTAAGTTCAAAATAAAAATGTAGAAAAGAAGATTTTTCGTGTCAAAATTGAGTTCTCGTATACGATACTAACTTAATCTATTTATTGTTTGTATTAATCAATCATGCCATTTTGAGTTTGTAAGTACCTGATTTTTATTTTTCTAACGTATTGCGTTGACAAATTTTCCTCACCTTGATGGAGCTCATTAAATTCATGTCTTGGACCAAATAAGAAACATAAATCTTCCATCTGATAAGTGTAGAACCTTGGCCTCAGTCAATGGTACTGATCACCCGAATTAACTCACTTTGAGGGTAGTCTAGAGACTTTTAAGGACACCCTCCTTAATAGAAAAAAAATACTAATACTTCTTCTAATTTATATTTAAACATGAGTGACAATTTTTGTCATCGAACCACCATTTATAATAAAAATAAATTATTTAAAATACTAAAATTACCTCTACATAAACCCCAAACAATTTTTCACATAAAATTCAAATTGATTAAAATTCATTTTTATACATATCAAGCTGACTAAAATTCTTTTTTTTCTACATATTAAAATTTAATTGGATTAAAATGTGATTCGAGCTAATTAATTTTTTTTTTTTTACGTATTAAAATTTGAGCATATTAATAGTCTTTTTTACGTATTAAAATTCGAGCCAATTTGGGCTCTACTTGAGCTATTAACCCTGATTACAACTTGGTTTGAATTAATTAAAATTTATATTTTTATTTATTTATTAAAATTTGATTCAGATTGATTAAAATTTATTTTTTATGTATTAAAATTTGAGTCAATTAAAATTTAATAAAAAAATTGAGCTGATTAAAATATAATGCGAGTTCATTAAAATTTGATTTGAGTCTCGAATAGAATTTTAATCGGTTCAAATTTTAATACGTAAAAAAAATATAATTTTTAATCGACTCAAATTTTAATATATAAAAATAAATTTTAATTAGTTCAAATAAAATTTTAATTAATCCTGAATTTTAATATGTAAACAAAATTAGAAAATAGAGTGGATCTCATTGAAGATATATTTATCCAAAAGGGGTGTAGATAAAATTTTTTCAAAAATATATCATAGATAATTTAGTAAAATTGTATTATAATTAAAACTTTTAATCTGACACGAGGTGTCAGTGAAGATTCAAAAAATAGAAAAGTGTCCTTAAAAATATAATAAACAAGAAGAGACGTGGGTGAAGTTTTTCCTTAATTTCTGAGCTATCTACCTCTGTATGTTTGACCAAAAAAAAAAAAAAAAAGCTATCTAACAACATGCAACGGGACTGTCAAAGTCAAGATATTAGGGGCCATAACCTAAAAGGCAGGGTACAAACAAATAGATGATGCAATGTTTTATGTTTTAATGGCTAAACAAGTCTATAGAAATAACTTACTTATTTTGTGGCTATAAGCAATTGAAATTAGTTAACTATCGCTTACTAGCGATGGAAGTTGTTAAACAACTTCACCCATGATACCTACCCATTCAAATTATAAATAAATCCAATTACGTAATTTTAATTGGGTCAAGCTCATTGAAATTATAAATAAATCAAAAATTTGTTTTTGTAAATAAGCCAAATATAAATAATGTATAACTCGGTATGAACAGATTCGACGTATATGTTTATGTCTGTAACTAATTCTAATTTCATTTAACAACCTAAAGGATAAACAAACCTAAACTTACACCCAAATAGCTTCAATTCATATCATATACATTTTGGTTATAAAATTTCATTAGCATTAGTCCATGCGGTGCAGCCTAGGGTCCATCATCCATGGACAGGGCTCCTTGCTACGCCGGGACTAATTTTTTGCATCACTTTTGTTTGGAATTTGACTGGATTGGATAATTAGGGATTTTTTGGAATGGTATATTGAGTCCCTATACATCCAGATGGCCTCCTTCGGTAGTAGGGCTTGGCAAAAATTCCCACTGCCTGTAGGAAGCCCTTTAGCCGAATAGACAGGTTTATAATCCATGATTTTTGGCATGCCAAAACTGATAATATCAAGGCATCTTGTTGGGTAGGCCCATGGCATGGTCCATTGGTCCAAAAAATTTAAAAAAGAGTTTTTTTGAAGGCCCTACCTAGGCCTAATAGGATTCTTAAAAAAAAAAAAATCCACTTCTAAATCCTTTTTAAAAAGTCAAAATAATAAATATAACTAACGCCCTTTAAAATTATAAAAATAATGATAATGTCATCATGTAATTGAAATACCTATTCTAAAAAATTACATTATCATAATATACCTTCATTTTCATAAACACAGATCACCAGACATGGACATTCAAAAAAATATGACTTGTTCTTAATTAACGTACCCATTACTAATAGTGGCCGAATTCAATGTATCTTTGAAACATATACATTGAGATGAGACGTCTGGACAGACGTCTCTTCAATTTACTATGTAATTAACACCATAATAAATATATATTTAAACCTCTTCATCTAAGAATATATATAACCACGAGATAAATACATTAGTATTTGATTGAGAAGAAGGTACATATACGCTATTATAGGTACACAAACACATAAAATTAAATACAATTAAAAATTACGTAAATCATAATGAATATGTACTTAAATTTATCAAGGAATATGTAAAATTTACCTGTTGCAATTTAATTTTTGTACCTACCAAATCAACGTTTAAGATAAACAACTGGTATATTTTAAATTGCTTGGTTCATGAATTTGAAATTCAAAACTGATAGACAACACCATAAAATCCTCAATAACAAACAGAAAAAAAAAGAAAAAGAAATTAATTATATTTTAGGATGAAATCATGTGATGAGAAAAAAATGAGTAATAAAAACAAGCTATTTGCCCAACTCGTATACGTTGGCACCCACATAGGGACCGCATGCAATTTTTTAAAAACATGGAGGTATTTTTTATATATTAAAAATTTGGTATAATTAAAATTAGTTTACACACTAAAAGAGAGACTTTGGCATAATTAACTATTAAAAAAACATATTAATGAAGGGAAAAAACCAAATGATAACCTCATTGGAGCCTCTCAAAAAAAATATTCAATGTAATGATGTGTTTGGACTTAAACTACAAAATTATAAAAACATTATATGCATGTGTTGTTGGCAAACCTAGAATCATTAAAGAGTTGCCACGTGTCAAGATCTGAAGTAAAGACAGAAAATGATCAACCACAACTTTGGTTTGAAAGAAAGAATAACTGTTTAAGAGTTAAGCCAATCAACTGTCAATAAAAGGATAAATCGTAGAAAAAAATGGCTATAAAAGGAGAAAAAGAAAGAAGTTGACGAACAACTCAAAACCCCCCACAAAGACCCACGATCAAGGTATTTGGGAGTAGTGTTAAAATTAGTTTTAAAAGTAATTAGTGTTTTAATCAAAAACTATTAATCAATTTCTCTGTGATTGAGATCCATTCGATTTAATTAATAAAGCAATTTATTTTTTCATTATTATGTGCATTCATGGTTTTAAAAATTCATCCAAAGAAGTGTTGAAATAAGACATTTGAACCTATCTACAAGCAATCGTCTGAAAACTGTGTCGATTGAGGAATTTCTACTAATCTCAATAGAGTTTGGAGCAACTCGGTGACACCATGATCATGCCATCATTGCTACATAGTTTTTACATTGTTCTATAAAAGATGAACAAGTGAATAAGTGAATCTCACACAATTCAATAACCACTCCTTCATGTAATCCATTAGCCACATGTAAAAAGCGGGGTCTAATTTATCTATTTAATTATATTTTTATTGAATAGAGATATTACGTAATAATAATATATAATATCACCATTATATTCTCGTTTGCCTGGTAGCAAGTTAAATATCCACTAAGAATAACTCCGACAAATAGAGCTAGGCCAATATCTACTACGAGATCTTACAATAGTCAAATGCAAACAATCTCACACATCTGCCTTGAGACTGTTGCCGTAATTCGAACCTGCAACTCCATAATTGCATGATATATTGAGGAAAAATGCCCATTCCATGAGTGATGAGAAGTCATTCTTCCTTAGGTTTACTTCAAAAGCAGCCAACATATGATATATTCAACTAGATTTACTTCCAAAATGGGCCTTGGTTTGCAGTAATTTTTCCCATTTCCAACACAGCAAATTAGCAACAAATCAAAATCTATGCACCATAAAGTTAGCATTTTTACAATTACTCACTCTTGAAAATTAAATTGCATTGATATGTTTTATAACATCCCCCCACTACACAACCACAACTACAAATAATTAAACTGAGAAAACTTCTATTTAAGAAGATCTCATTGCCAACAGGTCACTTGGCTTTGCTTTCAAGAAAATATATATTCACACCAATACACCCCCTACTTTCTGCTTTTACATAAAATTGCATGTTTCTTTGGCAAATCCCAGCTTTGACCCCTTAGTATCATATATAACCCTTGTGTTCCTTTGTTGATAATTTCCAATAATCCCAATCTCATCTTCATATGAGAGGCTTGCAAGAGCTAAACAGACCTGAGAGGCGTCGGCTTTTGCTGAGTAAAAGATCCCCTGTACATCCACATTCAGCTCAGCATCACCCTCAAAATGCATTGTTATTGTTGGAATCTCCACCTCTTCATATCTAGAAAGATTAAAGCAAGTGTCCAAGATTGAAAAACTTGGTGCTGTGGGATACCCTGAAAGTTGTTTCAGAAATTCGGATTTTACAGCCTTGTAAATTGAGGGAGGAAGCCTTGTGATCACAGTTCCTGAATCAATAATAATTTCAGCTTTTCCAAAACTTGGGTTCTGTAAATTCACCCCACCAATGGTGGTTCCAGTGAGGTTGAGAAAGTAAAAGGTTGAGAGCTGAGGATTTGGAACCATTCTGGTATAAGAAATAGGTGTTGAATTCTTGTATACTGAAGAGTCACCACCTAGAATTAGTGAACCAGGAGCCTCATCTTCTGTTGAAGGCAAACAGTAGGAGAAAACGCCCCCGAAAATTTCAGAAGTTTGGGAAACTAATGAGAGATCACTACTCATGCCAAGTCCCATAAGCCCCGAGGCTCCCCCGAATAGACCTTTATTGTCCCTACCACACCCTAAAACAAAATTGGTCACAGTTGTGGTTCCTAGACTCAGATTTGCACTTCCTAAATCGCCACGAGTATAAGATCCATCGCCATAGCTAACAAAATAGTTGCAGGTTGGTGGATTAGTCCCACAAATTCCCAAGTTCCCGGTGGCGAATAGGAGAGAATGGCAAACTGATGAATTGCATTGTACTGATTGGTATGAAGGTGAGATCAAGGGGTTGAAGAGAGGCTCTGGTTGATTGTAACATAATTTGCAGGGTTGGCATTGGACCCATGTAAGATCACTTCCTGTGTCAACAATTACTGTCATGTTTTGACCACCCAATTCTACTGTGACAATGTAGTTTAGAGTCTGAAGTCTGATACCAGAAGTGAGTGGGATTTGAGTATGTGAGAGGTCTTGAATTTGGCCAGAGACCATGTTTTTGAATTGGGATTGGAGGGAACAAACCCGAATTTCATCGGAGATTAGGCGTTCCTGAAGCCTTTCGTTCCAGTCAGTTATCGGTCCAGAGCAGTAGTCCCTGTGCCTCATTTCCAATATAGTTGCACCATTTCCTCTCCCTGAAACGAAAGGTATTGAGTTTTTTATTGTATACTTATATCTTATAATATAAGTTATAAATGTTGAATTTGATTTAAATGCTTTGAAATTATTACATTAGTGAAAAAGAAAAAGGAAAAAAGATGACCATAGTTCAATAATACTAGAATAAATTTGGATTAGACTCTCTGAAATTGTTCTAGTTTATCATATTCATTGACTTAAAACAGGTAGTACAAGTATTGTCAACTAGAAAACATTTAAATTAACCTGTACTAACATTCAATTTATACCTTTTAAGCATATATTAGGCAACACTTGGCTAACTGAGATAAAGTAAAGCCAAGAAAAAATTACCTTAACAGTTGTACCACTAAAACTTGATTTTGTTTGAGAGAGAGAGAGAGAGAGAGTTGAAGGGTGTTTTTCCTTCCATGAACATAGAAGCAATGTAATTTGTAGCAAATATCACAAAGAGGAAAGTAAATAAATTAAAGCTGAGGAAAGCTTATGCCACTCCCAATTGCAAGACTTCTCACTTTGTTCTCTTTGCTAATACTCACTTGATTTTCCAGGGAAACAACTAGGAACACCATTTTGTTGCTTCCTGTGAAATGTGTTCAATGAGAGGAGTTTCTTCTCTCCAAAGCTGTAAACCCCATTGCCTGTACTGAGTAGAAGAAAAGAGAACAGCAGCAGAGACATTTTCTCTACCATTGTTGAGGATAACACAGAAAGATAAGAAATGGGTTGCTGAGACTATTTGGGGGGGGGGGGGGTGAGAGATAGAGAGATTCTTGGGAGTTGGATGATTGGAACTTGGAACTTGGCTAGAGAACAAAAAAGGAGGGGCTGGCTAAAGGATCCACTGTTGCATGAGAAATTATTGGGGTTTCACGTGCAGATACTCGTAAAAGTTATTCTTTCTGTTCATGTGTGGGCTTCAAGAACCTGTGAGCTTGTTGTTTACAGCCATTTTTATTGGCTTGCTGAGCTTCCAAGGATAAGGACTCACCTTCTCACGGATTCAACTGTCACAATATACCAACGTACAGGGAGGAGAGAGAGTGAGAGACGACAGATAAAGAACTGTTTTCTATTGGATGTTTGTCCCTTTCTATTATACATACATTCATAGGACTATCATATAGATTAGTTACAGCAGAAAGTAAGGCTTCTTTGGATTCTAATATTTGATAGAGCTATAAAAATGTTAGCATGTATAGAGCTTTGGATCAAACATCTACGGGTGACGGCCATGAATCTTGAGAATTGAGCGTGGGACTTGAAGAACCTACCACACACACCTCCTTCTAATGTGCGCATCCCAAAAGTGTTGCCATAATCCTGCCTTTATTTAAATCATATATATTTAATGATATTTTCATCCTAATGTACCTTGCTCCGAAGAATTCCTAATTTTTATGCTAACTTGTAGTTTGTGGCTATTATAACAATAGGCATATTTGCTTTCTTGTGAAATCCCGACGAACTATTTACATAGTTCGTGGGATTTATCAAAAACCCGTAGATCATATTAATTATATGTCCCAGTGAAATCAGCATAACTTATGAGTATTATGTGTTTTCACTTTATTAGGTTTTCAGCAAGTTTTGAACATTTTTATTCTCAAAAACTGTTTATACTGTTCGATCTGGATAAAAAAATTTGGAAGTTACTTGATACATATATAGATGCTGAGAAAATCATATTAGTTATTATTGCGGTTAACTTCATAGTGTGTATATGAACTAGTTGAGTATATCGTACCACATTCTGAAATGGTGAATGGAGATAATGGCAGTTAACGTAGTGAAAGTAATTATTTTGGTATGCCACATGACATCACCTAGGTTTGGATGTTTTTCATATGACGATGTTTGGGTCTAAGGAGTAGATTATGGTCACACAAATCCACTTCATCCTGCGAAAGGTATGTGGAGTGGTACACATATTTTAGATGCTTAGTATAATGTATTTTATATTATCTTTAATAGAATATAAAGTCTTTGGGCTTTTATTTCGGGTAAAACTGTTCATATGATCTTTATCTTCAAGCCAAGTGAGCCTAATTCAAAATGAATGATATTATTATTTAATAAAAGCTTGGGATATCAAAACTAGTATCGGAACTATCGACTTTCGTGGTGTGGGAGACACATAGGTAGCGCATTCTTTGGTGCACCTCGGTTTCGGTAGGTTGATGGTTTGAGACCATGACAATTAACATAATGGGAGTAATCTTTAGGAATATCCCTCGAGTGAGATGGGATTTAAACAAGTACGTTGGGCCTAAGAGGATGAATTATTGTGATTAAAAAATCTCTAATATCTTTTTTTTTGAAAGGTAAAATTCTAGTAAAGTATAAGTCGAGTTATACCAAAATGTGAGTTTGAACAATCATTACTCAACCCAATTTCAAGCCTGTTGGACTTGATTCAAAACAAATACTAAGCATCTTTGATCTCAAATGCTAGATTCGCATTGACTCTGCTCGTTCCCGTCTTTCGCTTCCTGTTGCTTGGTGTGGTCTGTACTCCATACTGTCAGTGTCATGTAACCAATATACTCTTGGTGCAAAAATTTGGAGACTATATTAAGTCATATTATGATTATTATCTATATCCAATGGGACCCACTTGGTGGTTCACTTGTGTATAAGGTTCTTACAGTACTTTCATGCATTGGACCCAATCCATTATCAATAATTTAAGGCTTGAATTTTAGAGAGATAGTGGACGATGGTTTTCATCATGATATTTGGTCCACACACACAATCACATAGAAATATCATCTTACATTAAACATCAATAGGCCTGTACTCATATACTCTTTGGAACATCGTATAATTACTTCTATAGAAACAGAAAAATATACTATTTTGTAAAAGTGTTCTATGTGTATCTCAAATAGTAGTATAGGTAAATATATATTCTACTATACATGCAAATAAACTCATGAGAAGGAAGCAAACAGAACAGACACAAATTTTTTTCCTTGTGTCACTCTTAAGGGCACATCTAGTTTAAGAGGGTTGATGTCTTCCCATCTAGCTGAAGAAGATACTTAATGTTAAAAACTATAAAGGAACTTGATATAGAGTATTGGTTTTGTATTTATTTCGTTACAACACAGTTTGCTAAGTGTTGATTTGATATCTTAAAAAAGAAAAGAAAAAAAAAGGGTTTAAAATTCATTTGTTGGTAATGAAAAAATGTAGATTGGGAAACAATATGATACATAAAATGTAGAAGCAAAATTGAGAAACAAATTGAGTACACTATGTTGTCATCGCTATAGAACTTATGTTGTCATCGTTATATTTACATGCATGGAGATTATTTTTACCCAAATTACAAAAAAAATATATATATATATATTTGTTGTATCAAAGCCCATGATTATTGTGAATCCATTAATTGTCATATATATCAAGTCATCACCACTGAGTGGAGAGGTTCAGTAGGGGTACCGATCGAATTTTTCATCCTGAGGTTGGAGGTTTGAGTCTTAGAGTCCACAGTGGAGCTCGATGGTTAACTGCTATGTTAGCTTAATTAGGTTCGTTTTTGAGAAAAATAACGGGTGTGGTTAGAGGTCTCATGATCCTACCAGTGAGGATCTATTGAGGTGGTCTCTAGACGCTCTTATTTGCCCCACCTTTTTTTTACCAAGCAAAAAAAAATATATCAAGTCATCTTTCTGCATTTAATTGGGTCAACTAGAAGATCATATCTAGGATTTCCTAAAATATTCAACTAATACAATTTGCAACTTGTAGTAATTTCATATTAGACACTACTAGAATAAAATAAAACCTTATTTCCAGCTTATTTATGATGGAGTTTATCTCTTTCTTCTGTTTATTTATATCGATATCAATCCCTTCACGTCAACCCTCCGGAATCAAATTTGGGCCCAACTCGGCATTACCAGGCCTGCTGAAATGCCCACCAAAGACCATTTTCTTAGTAGGTGAATCACCACATATTTTGGTGCATTCGAAGTTTTGGTTTTTCTATATCAGTTCGCTAAGTAATACTATACAGACCGAAAAAAATAGACTAAAAAAAAAGCCTAAATGATGTAACACTGGATGTCGTAAAATTGTAGTTTACTTGGTCGTAACAGGCTTTTCGTTGTAGGTCTGCCCAAGTTTGCCCCTTTGCCCATTACCACAGCCTCCAATTTGAAATAGTATTTTTGACCGATAATTTAAGTTCAAATTATTAAATAGACCAAAATTGAGCAAGTCATAATCTAGTTGCTTGGTGTTACCCTCTTAGCAGGTTGACACGACTAGGGCATATGGTTGCCTCGCCCAAAGGTATCCATGCCTTAGTCAAGTCGGAGTGTGCTTGATGAAGCATCTTCTTGGTGCAAAGTGGTGTATGACCAGTGGGTTGAGGGAAGCTCTATGCATGGCTGGAGAAGACAGCTCATGTAAGGGTATGTTGGGTACAAGCAAGCAAAACAAGCAATGATGGCTGATGGGCTCGAATTGTGGGGCATTACTGGTAAGGATGGTAGTAGACCGAGGAAAAGCAGGGACTCGTCCAAACCTGCCTGGTTGGGACAGAGAATGAACCATACTATTGAACGGTAGACGTATATGGGGATACCCGTATAAACACGTAAGGTAATGGATGCGGGAATGGACCGTAACTTATCCTCGCCTCGTACCTGTTTGCCCTGCCCCCGCTCCGTTAAACCCGTCATTCATATAATAAATTTCTCTTTCAAGCATGGCCCTTACTCCTTTTTCTTTTTCTTTCTTCTTTTCTTCCCCTCCCTCACCTAACTCCCCTCCCCACTCTCTCTGTCTATTTCTTTTCTACAACCAGGGCTCCTCTCTTTTCCAGTCTTTCTCGCTACCATTGAAAAGTATCAACAGATCCACAACCAACGCCACCCACCACCACCATCTTTCCCTTTATCTCTCTCCCAAACCCAGAAACGCCGTACAAACTCCCTCCCATCCCAAAAAATTACCCCCGTCACCAGCAATCGTCGCTTGTGATGTCACCATGTTATTATATATATATCTCAAACGGCCCTTTAAACCACTCATCCAAAACCCCCCATCCCAGAAAATCCTCTTTCACTTGAAAAACCCTCACCTCCGACGACTGCAGCAACTTGGATTTGTCTTATGGGGCGTAGAATCCCTAGATTTGTCTTAGAGCATGATTTTTTGTTTGATCAAAGTAATTTTTGTCATAACCAAAGAGAAAAAGGAAGAGAGTTCTGTGAATGCTAACTTGGAGAATTGTTATTTATTAAGTGACTACAATGACTAATAAATAGTCTCACACAAAGATTCAAAAGGAAATAACAACCCACGATTTTACAGATCCTATAATCGTGGAGCATGACTAGTTAAACAAAAAATCATACTTGTTCCTCAAGCATAGGAGGAATTATTCAACATTGTAGGAAATAAACCTAAAAAACAGGGAACTCTGAACCTAACAGCTAGGAAGCTTCAACATCCTCCCTTAAACTGAATACTATTGACATTCAGTTTATATCTGGACATTCACACACACCCTGTAAGCCTCGCATCTTCAAATATAAATCAAGTTTCAATGGCTTTGTTAGAACATCTGCAACTTGCTCTTGTGTAGAACATTGAATCAGCTCCACTACTTCATTCTTAACAAGTTCTCGAAGGAAATGAAATCTTAATCTATGTGCTTGCTACGACCATGCATTACAGGGTTCTTTGAGAGTTTGATCGCTGAGATATTGTCACAATAAACCACT